ATATATATATATATATATATATATATATATGACAACTTAACCACAAGCAGCAAAAGCATTTCTGAAAAAAGCGGTAGGTAGATACAAAAGTCAAAAATAGGTATAATAAATATTTACTTACAAAAACACATCAAGCTAATTTTTATCCACATTTTAAAATAAATACAAAGGTATAGTATTTGAAAGATTACAAAAAAACATGACACGCAGCCTATATGTACGACAGTTGTATTTATGTAAAAGATACAACAATACATCAGTTGTACTCACATCAACCACAGCACACATTTTGGTTCCATCGAAAAGTTGAATATCCAGATCTGTAGTTTCATTAATGCGCTCAGTTGATGATAACTGGGATAGACTGAAAAGATTAAAGATTGATCCTTTTCGACCTTGTCCTTTTTTATGGGAATCAACCTCATTATGCGGGCAAAATCGAGAAGTGTCTGCAGCTGACTTGTCCATTTAAATTAATCCTAGAGTCAAGGTCACCGAAAAATTATCAGTGGAAAAGCTAGTAAGGTGCGAATAAAACCATGTAAACAAGAAAACTTTTCTGGAATATTTTAGCATGAAACGCATCGATATTTTTCAAATAATTCTAAGAGATTTTTAAAATTGGTTTGTCTATGTTCGTTCATGTTTTTGTTAAAAAGAGCGTGGATGATAAGCGGGAAATATTCTATGAATAAATGATTGTAAACCATAACTTTTGCTCACTATCTACCTTTAGACCATCATATTGCGCTATATCTAATGCTATGAACTATTTTAGAGTGGTTTAAGTAGTTAGTAAAATTGTATATGGGTTTTTTTAGTCATACATCCGGATGTATAGGCATGCAACGCCACAGTTATACATAGTGAGTCCTGACTATGCACAAAAAATTAAATTAATAACCATATGATGCTATATATAACTCTAATGAGGTAAATATCAGGAATTTTCCAGGTATAGACTTTAACCACAGATCGTTTCTAAGAACCAGGGATATTTGTCATTTAAATCGGCACCAAAATTCTGGTTAATACCAGCATGTCTCCTGCTACTAGTTTGTGCTGAATAATGTAAAACAATTTATAATTTATGTGGACTTAAGAAAAATAAAACATTTTGAGTCACAAAAATTCAGCAAATAGTACACGTACATTGAAGTCTGAATTATTTTGAATGTTTATGGTAATGCGATGCAATCATTTCTAGTGATGCAAAGTACGTTTTCACTTTCATTATGGCGCTAGAAAGTAAACTAAGCAATGTTGCCTATGCAAAGGTTATTATTCCTTCGTCCAAATATAAACCAACCTTTTATCTTTAATTGTGTATTAAAGAAATTGTGTGCCCATTATCCTAACCAAATTGCACTGTTTTACATAAGCGACCACCCCAGCTAATGAATCAATTAGTTGCTTTTAATAATACGAATTACTAAACATGTGGCTGCTCCACAAAACTTAAATTATCTTAATTTTCTTTTAAGTAATTCCTAAATTGGAACATTTGCTTGAGTTTGTGCCAAACACTGTTCTATAGAATTAATTTGGTACTTCCCTTTAAAATGAAACAGCCTTCACTATTAAGTCAAATTTACCATAACCAGTTACTCTTTTAATGATGCTAATGAAACACCTTTAGAAAGCTACCAAGGTAGATATCGCCTTCGGACAAATTTACACATTCCCAGAAGTCACCCACATTCTGACCATAATTTTAATCATCATACTAAGCAACTTTTTGTTTAAAATTTCACAAGTGCATCTACCCTAGCTTTTTTCACATAACTAACTAACACTTGTGACTTTAATAACGCCAGTACCAAAATTTAGTTAGGGAAGTTTTAAATATAGGGCTGCACTTCTGTTAAATCGGATAAATCAATATTAATTGACAAACTATTTAATATCATTGTAGGTAGGTATTGTAAAAGTTTGAATAGATGTCTTTAGCAGGTGACAAGCATCAAAATCCGATTGAATCCACTACAACAGTGCAACGAGACCACGGGTTATGTAACATCCACAGAAAACTCCGAGGATAAGAAAGAAGGACGCCAGCAGACCTGCTAAGCCAGCTCGCTCGGGCGGCGATTTGCTAAAATATTGTCAGAATAACTGGTAATCGGGAGTGATGTAGGTTTCGAAGTTAGCACCAGCAAAACTGGAAGCTTGAAAAAAATGATCTAATTTTGTTTGGGTCATTAAAACTCATTTAACACTGAATGCCATGGTGCCCTATCGAACGCATTTATTAACCTTTTGGTACTATGCATTCAACTTTATTACCTACACTTATTAGAAAAACGTGATATTTACTCATGGTGATGGCAACAGCATACTCTATCTCCCAATCGTTTGATTGTGTGATTCGCACAACGCTTCGGACTCAGCGACAGTCCTCAATCCTTCCTGAGTTCAACAACAGGCACCGATTCTACCATCTCACAGTAGTAAGCACAAAGTCATGCTGATTTACAATTCTAATGTACCGAATTTCCAAATCCAGTGAAATATTTTCGGAAAGAGACCAAAAGGTGTATTTTTTGGAGTTCCTCGTGTACAGCTTCATCAATCCCACAACGTGCTAACGTGCTATGCGTCATGCTTTTTAGCTTACGCACTCAAGTGCAAAAAACAATTAGTATTCCTTTTTACAAAAGTTTACAGCCAGCTATTTAACGGTTTTATAAGCTCCACTGGCCAACAACAAGCCGGTTCTAGCTTGTGCCAGTTAGATTACTTTGACAAAACAGCGACAGATTGTATACATTTGCTTTGCTGTCATACTTTTACTGTCCAGACTTAAGTAGTTGCCGTCTAAGTATAATTTCGGTTAACAGACCTTAAACTGCAAACACGAATATACAAATACATTTTAGCATTAATTGGCATTCACGAACAGACTTAAATTTATTTGACTATTTAATTGGATTTGTTAATTTTAAGTAGGTAAAATGCTTACCTGATGGTACATTATAAATACTCACTTGCTATTCACTTACCTTGGGGCATACATCATAGCGAGTGATGAAAAGTATCCGTTTGTGAAGGCAAAAACGACGGAACCAACAACGTAGACGTGATCATTTTTCACCCAAAGCGGCATTCTACGGCCTCCGGGGCCAGTTGGAAGGTAATTAGACACCATAAAGTAAGGGATGAAGATTACCATACGAATAAGCACAGGAATCCACAAGAAACGAGGTCCTGGCTGAAACAAGCAAACAAAATCCGATGACAAAACGAGTCACTACAATTTTCGAGTTGAGTATGGGAAGAAAATTTCTGGTTCCATGTATTAAAACAACTGCATGTAGTCGTGTTAACTCATTTTAAGTGGAAAATTGATTTTCATTCTTCAAAGCTTATCTATTACTCGAGATTTACTGATTAAGACCACCAACAGACATTGTTTCCTGTTGCACGTCTCCAATTAATAGGCATATTTGTAGTTTTTTTTAGGCGACAGTTTTACTGTCGAATCCCCATTGTCTCGGACAGTTTTCATTCCCCTGGTAACCTTGATTATACTTTAAATAAGGTGACCTGTAGGTATTTGCACACATACTTTTCATTCTATGCAATACCCACTGACTGCCAAGAGTAGAACTGGGAGACCAGGTTGTTACTTTATAAGCAGGTATGAAGCATATTTCAGGTGACTTATGGATTACTTTCTTTCTCATTAAAAACGAAGTATTAGGGAAGGGTAGTTTAAGATTGTTTTTAATCCGTAAATTGGGCCATGATAGAGGATTTTGAAGTTCTTCTGAGTAGTCTTAAGCAGCGTGTATCCATGACGATTCCTACATGCCCAGCTGCAGCCTTGCTAATATAATTAGAAATTACTGGCTATGATTGATATCTGTCACCGATTCTTACTCTTCATTGTTCTCTTTTGCCAAGTGCTCAAATAGACACGCACATGCGTACTGGTACACGCCTTTGTTGCTTATGTTTATAAACGGCCGTACCTGTCACCGCTTCTCATCCCTCCTTGTTCTTGGGAGCTTCCTTTGGATTATAAGTACGACTTTAAGGTAGCATAACACTACAACCATTTAAGTACTTGAATGTTAAAAGTATCCAGTAGAGTTGTGTTTTATGGAGGATCCTCATACTTACACTCGATTGTTTTGAACGTGAGGGGTTCGTGTTATGCGAGAGAGAAAAAACGTTAAAAGTTATCAACAATCCTGATGCTTTAGTGACTTCAGGAGCTGATTCTGGTGGCCAATTGTATTCGACAAAGGCGTTGTCAGTAAAAAGTGGCGACAGAATTATCAGCAACTTCTACTCTGTTAAAACCAATAAAATGAGGTTTAGAGAGTGTAACAACCTTACACATTTTTACCAATTTGGTGGCCTTGAAATGAGTACAAATTCTTTCAAAGACGCAAATATGGTTGGCAAGTGAGTGGTTAAATGTCACGAAAACCCTTGAATGAGCTTCCATTTAAGAGGAATATACATTCTACTCACAGTAGAAATTTAAACTTACGAATTTCACCCATGAACTGACAACACAGCCCAGCATAGCGAAGAGGTTAAAAAAGAAGTAGCACGTCACGTCAGCAAACCAATTTTCTAAATAGGGAAGGGACGTAAACATTACCAAAACATATCCGGACAACTTGGTTAATCGGTTATATTTTTGAAGTGTTCCTCGCTGGAATAAACAATCAATAAATGATGCAAGCTAGTATAGTGCGGGTTATAATAAAATGTTTGTGCAAATGCAGGTGTATGCTAAGTGCCAGAGAAACGTAGCACTTAATCGTTAACATAATCTATTAGAAGTGCAGTGATGTGGAGAACAGGATGGTTAAACGGTTGAACTTATAGATTGCTCCCAGCTTTCGTGATTAACGGGGTTTTTCTAACTCGAGCCTTTTACGTTTCCTTGGTGAAAATGTCACAGGAAAACCAGGAGATCTTTCGGAAAAGTAGAACAAACACTGTATACATCCTGTGTGGGTGGACATGTATAGAAAAATGAGACGTGAGGAATAACAGTTCAGACAACTCGATAAAAAAATTACACTAAAGTATGCAATTAACGTACAACGCGGAAGGATGGCGCTAAGATAACCCACCTGGTATAAAGTAGTCGGGGCTAATTGGCCTGACCGTGGCTTGGATTGCGGGGAACACAGAAAGGGTGCAAGTAAACACCATCCAGACAGTAAGACATTGAACCCAGCACTCTTTGAAGGTCTCTACGTATCGACCCCAATACTCAGTACATTTGACGCGTCCCTCTGCCTGAAGGATTTTAAAACGATGGTTAAAGGCACTATCCTAAAACTTATTGTAATTTTATCGGAGAGATCTGGCCATGATAAAAGGTCTCCTCATCAGAAAGGTAAGGCATCTACATGTTCATCTGTTTTTCCTGAAATTTGTCACAGAATCGCACTATATCCTGCTTAGTTTATACGCTTGCAAACAAGCGCCGATTCCAAATCCAGTTTATTGTCTTTCTTACTTTGGAATAACAGCAAACAGCAAAGCAGTTTCTGAGGGTAGTGGTCTTTGAGGAGTCATCCTTAATATCACCCTGAGCCTTTCCTTCCTTGTTGTCACCTCTTTCCTCATTATCGAAGGAAGCGCTTTCTACGAACTTGGATACTGTAGGTTTCGTGGAAGAGTTGTCAGCATCTTCATCGGAAATCGGGATCGAGTCTCGTTTTTCATGAGTTTTGGAAATCAAATCCCCTTCCTCATCATCTTTCCCATCTGCTGAGCTCGCAAAATCCAGGTAATAGCGGACAAATTCCTAAATGGAGATATTTGTCATTTAAAATTCATAGTTTACACTCGATCAGAAGGGAGCCCTTTTTCACTTGTACCGATGAAAATTTAAAAGATTTTTTACACAATTATTGGTTTAATTGAACATTCATAATGACAACTTTAATTTGACAAAAAAACAGATGGCAATGATTTCGCTTCATTGCACATTGACACTCAAAACCTCATTCTGGCTATAATGCGATCTTCAATCTGTTTTGTTGAGTCATAAAAATTCGAATGAAATATTCTTAACCATATCAAGATAGACGGTGTTTGCAACCAGCGGATCGATCCATCTGTAAGTGTTAACAGAATTTCCCGTTTACACTTAGTGCGTGGTAACATAAACTATACTTGCAAGCCGTGGTCATCAATGCCAAAGGACTAAGTTTGTAGCGCCTTTGCGCAATCTCCTTGGTCATAAATTGCGTGTGACGTTTTTTGTGGTGCCGCCCGGCCCCGATTTTATGCATTGTGATTGGTTAAGTAGATGCCGATGATTCTTTAACGACAACGCCTTTTGCCTTTGCTATAGACTTTTTGTCTCACATCTCACTGAATTTATTTTGATGACGTAGACCGCATCTAAATAAGAGGCAGTCGCCTCATCCCGATTACGTAGTTATTTTTTTTAAATCGTTAAACTTACTTACATGGAACTAAATATACTTTGATCAGAAACTCAAATAACAATCTAAATTGTTCAAGTTTCTTTCAAACTCCCCATAGCGAGAAAAATTAAATGGAGCAAACATCCCTCTGATCTTATTTTATGCAGAAGAATGTTGTCGCCCAGTACAAATCGAAGTACCGAGGGACGAAATGGGGCGAGAGAGGGAGGCAGCCTTTTACTGAATAGCTCAACAAATTGTGTTGAGGGTGCGTGCACTCGCCGTAGTGCGTGCCTAAGGCAGTTATTAATCAATAGCGTGGGTGAACTAGATAAAGTACAAATAAGTGAACGGTCCCAATAGTTTAATCGATAGCTGCGGGCAGTAACCCAATTAATGGATGAAAATCAATATGACTATCGCGACAAGAATAACGGATTTCAGAAAATTGCCAGTCTGGCCACATTTCCTTAAAATAGTTGGGTGGGTTGTGGCGATAAAAACACTCTTTCGCAGACTCGTTCGGTGAGTAGGTCGGCCGAAAGGCTCAGTTAGAGCGTTCGATTATCCTAAGACTTAATTTTTCGGTTAGCAATAGACAACACGTTGGACAAAACAATGATTTTTGCGAGGTTCAAAGCAGCTTTAATATGCTTTTTGAAAAAAATCATGGCCCGAAAAGGGCCACAAACGGAACGAATAAGTGGTTGGAATGGGGCACGTAAGCGTGCAGTGTGCCGTTCAACAGAAGTAGAAGTTCGACAATATCATTGTCCGTTTGATACGGAAAATGAACACATTAGCGAGATAACAACAATGGTTTATATGTAAAATCACTAATTTCAGCTTGGACAACATTCGAGGTTTCGATTTCCTTCCTGGTATATGATAAATGGTGAGAGCGTGGTGACAGAAGCGAAAACGAAAACGACTCTAGGCTGCTAATACAGTGTCTAGTTAAATCCTGCAGTCCGATACACACGCGTCTAATCACAAACAGGAATAATTTTTTTCAATTATATTTTTGTGCAATCAACTCAAAAGTGGAAACTGCATTTTTAGGCAAAATTCGAGTCCTTACCGAACCAACTAGCGTTTTCACCTCAGATTGCTTGCTTTGGGGCATGTGAATAAACGTTATCGTTCATTACTAGAGAAGATTGTCGACTGCGTGAGGGTTAGATGAAGAGTTGTCTGCGCTCGCTAGCCTTCGGGCCTACTTGCCCTCTGTGCCACTCTGATGGCAAGGCATGGAGTCAAAGGCACGCAAAAAATGATTTGATGCAATTTATCACCCTAGGCATTTTACTAAAACATAAAAAGCTTAATCAAAGTTGCTCTTTTTCATCAAATTTACTGTTAAATTAGCTCGGTAATACCTGTAAATGGCTGCAAGAAAATGTGAATTTTCTTTAAATTTTTATTTTTGCCTGGGTTTCTTTGTGTCCTCAAAACCAGTCAAAACAAACCCCCAGGAAATTGAAATTCATTCTATAATTGAGCGGTGCGTTAAATAATGAATAGTATTGGGGCATCTCTACCTTAGTAATAATTTTCTAACAAGATAGCAACTAAAAATTGTTGATTTACAACTTAATCTTATAATATCTTATGAAATAACAATAATGATGATGTGATTAATTTAGTGCAAGTATGTGGTTTTAAAAATATATATATGAATACAAATTAAGCGACTAGAACGAATATTTCGAAGGGTTGCATGGAGCATGCGCCATCGCCTTGTTGATTTTTCTTTGTTGCCCGAATGCTGATTGTGGCTGGGCGACGCATGACGAGAGAAGCTCTAAGTGATTCCAGCGTGGTGACCTCTGCTTCGACGCAGACCCCTTGTGTGCATTTATTGCATAATGCTTATGGTAACAAATGTTGTTTAGACTAGCAGAAAAACATTGTTGAATGTTCCGGATCGTTCTTTGGAAATTTGGAGTCTTTTGAGTTTGTTCAGTTTTTCTGCACATTACGTGCAATCGAATACAGCAGTCCGATACAGCAGTTGCTTCATTACATTGACAAAAACACATCACTACTTGGTCCAGAGTGAATCACAACACAGCGTTTTAGCTTAAGATTAAACGCCCACAGGCTTCACACTACCAAAAATTCTTTACAAATTTCGTTTATCATTGATACGAAAAAAAACAAGTCCCAACGAATAAAAACAGAATATAATTACAAGAGCTAACACGAGTGTGTTTTATCTGTCGTCGTAAACAGTAAACAGTACGATAATTATGTAAGTCAATTAAAAACATCACGTAAATCATTCAACGGGCAAGTCTTGACTCACCAAACGCTGCATCAGAAGGTATGAGGCTATACAAATGACTACGTAGAGAGTTCCAACACTGAAATAAGACGTCGTTGCGATAATAATGCTCTTCTCAGTCTTTCCCCAAACTAAAAGAAGATTGTACTTGGCTAAGATGGGGAATTAAATTGTTTGCAAATACCATGGTATCAATATAGTCGTTCGTGATGAGTACGATGGACGAGCAAAAAAACGAATGAAGCACACGTCTGAGGCGAATAGACAATTTTAACCGACAGAGCTCCCACCAACTTCGTCTATGATAGCACCTCGTCGTTAAAACAGTATGGAGTGTCAGTGGAAATGATGGGAAGTTGGTGGAAATTGCACCAATGCAAGACATTAGTGGTAATAATGGAGCCAGCAAAAACTTTGAAATGCAAAGTGGCGGATTTAAATGTGCTTTAGCCACAAGACCAGTTTACCTCCACATCTTCCAGCTTCACTATAAATTTCTGATTCAGTTGCTTTGTTCTTTGCAAACACTCTGTTTGTTACATTGCTAGTTGGTCAACACTTCTTAACGGTAATGCCCGTCCTTCGCCACCAATTCGCTAAGGTGCTCTCTATGGCACAGCTTCTTCATTTAATCAGTAACCTAGATTTTTCAAATTTCTATTCAGCAACAAAATTAGAATTTTGAACCGCTCTTCAGAGATAATCATGAAACTCATCAAGGGAAATCTTAATTTGTTCCCATCACCTTCATTTTTCATACAATAGCCAGAAACTCCCGTTTGGTTATATTGACCAATACCTTGAAATACTTTGACTGTACATCATGGGTGGTTAATCTGTCTCCTCCTCACATCTCACCTCAAATAGGTTAGTCTAACAAAATTTATTCCTTTTGAAGTTAGGAATGAAAATACTCTTTGCTTTGATAATGAATAAACAGGAGAAAAATCTTTATTTCATTCCTGCTTAAACATGATTTTTTTTAGTGTAGCAGTGCAGTCTTCGCAAGTTTGAATACAAAGGCAGATGGAATGTCATCTGATTTCCATCAATGCCAGATTAGCGTTTATTTCATGCCTTCAGCAATGACCAGCAGGATGCACCGCACCAAAAAATTAGTCCTTCCCTTACATCATTGTGGTCTTTTAACTACGCATCCTGGAAGAAAAATTACTGATCAGGGATTAAACCGATTTAGTATACTATATCCCAGTCTGGCTCGACTAAACATTTGTTTCTGATTAATCACTTGAAAGAATATGTGGGGATTAGAGGAATGTTGACCACCAGTACCACAGATAGAACTGGGAGACATTTTAACGCACCGTGTCTAAGCTTAAAGGGGCACTGTCTCGTCCCTTCGTGGTTAAGCAGCCGAAGAGGGCTTTCAAATGCAGGATCTCTGCAAAGGACTGGTAAGTCGTGATCTACTAGTGGTTTAGAATATAACTGAGAATATCCCGAAAGGAGGATCCAGCCCTAGATCACGATCTGGAAGGAAGCCAATGACTACAACTTCAACAATTCACTAATTGAGCATGTTGCCCTGCCCACCGACAAACTCGACAATATGCATTTATTTGACGGAAATTATTTAATTTATTTACGGATACTTTAAATAAGGGCATGATTCTTTTGGAAACAGCCTATTTGGGCCCCACAGATACATTAGACTAACATTTGTGCTTTTATTGACTTATTAGAAGTTGATTAAAAAAACCGATGCCATTATTCTTTCACGAGGCGAACATCAGGATACAGTTTGACAGATGAGTAAGAGTGAAGGATGAAAACAAGAGGGGAACAGATCCTCAATGGAAATGCAACACACACACACACTTAAGAAAACGTACGTTGCGAAATGCCCTTGGCTATCATATTCACCGAAGCAACGAAGACGCCACAAGTATTCTAGAAGATAGCAAAGAAAGTTGTCGTTGCGCAAAAGGATATATCGCGAAGTCCATTGTTTACGTGAGCATGCGATTTCATCAGAACTGGGTTTCGAAGAATAGCCGATACCATGTTAGTTGTAGCATTGATGAGTCTATCAAACACAGTCACACAGCAACCGTTGGTTGATTCTCTTTTTTCTCTTGACTTGCAAGCTCATTCTGTCGAGACGTCAGGGGTTAAGGCAGATGCAATTGTGATTCACACTGTCACCATCACAAAAGCTGCAATCCCGCCTTTCAATTAGAACGTCCCATTTACATGCACCACATTACCCACACCTGATGTTCATCATTCCTGGTCATTATCCAACAGCCTGCGCAAGATCACGCGCGGCATTGACACCTTATTAAAACCATGGTTACATAAAGGAGTTGTTGAAATTTACAAAGTGCCATTACAAAGACATCGAAAACTTATGGACACTTAGAAAGAAGTGGTAATTTACAACAAAGATTGCATTTTTGATTAAAGTACATCTTGCTTTCGGTTAAGACCATGTATTCCTGTGTGATACCCAAATGTTTTGTGAGCTGTAATGTCCGAATGTAGCATATTTTAAACGGCATTTACTCTATGTTTTTCCCTTATTGTTTCCTCGGACGCGAAATTAGCAAAGTAAAGTTAGTTTCAACAAAAGTCATTTTTAAAAATAAATCTTGGTTTCGTTTTTTTTTTAATAAAAATCATGCAAGGGACTTATTAATCAACCAGATACCTGGTAAGAGCCAATTTGAGGACTTTTGGCAAGGTGAGAGCAGAAAAGCCTAGTTACCTTTGGAAAATTGGAGGATCTCGGGCTAAATCCATCAAAAAATACTTTTTTTATCAGAAACCAAACTTGTTAAACTAGCTTTTAAGTCAGAGTATTAGATAAAGACAAAAACTAGATAAGTTAAATCTGTAGTCGCCAAATGTTCTGCCTTAAAGGATTATCAGTTGGTAATTTTTTTATTTTCAAACTATGATGTTCAGTTATAATTTTGATTAAGAATTAATTAACCAGATATAAAAACCTACAAAACGACACTACGATATTAAGATGGTGGTTACGATTAATGGAATATTTAACGAGTCGAACAAAACGATTACGTAGGCATTGGTGTCCAAGTGAATATTACCGATCCTGACATTCCTATCTGGTAAGACGCATTAACGAAACGTCTGTAGAGAAAACGCTTTAACTAAATTAGAAAATTTTGTATTTAGTTTTAATATTTACTCTAGCTGATGTAGTTCAATGGGGCCAGGCCATCAACAAAATAAATGTACACATGCATTTGGCTGCCTTTTGTTACTCCTAACTGGTAAGAATGGCTATGTTAATGTAACAAAACTAACCAAATAGCTGGAATAATTACACACACAAACATAAAATTACTGCTTAAATTGTGGATTAATCCAAAACTAGTTGCCACTAGTCATTGCACAGCACACTAAACCAATCACTGCAATGTGTTCATTTAAAAAACACGTGAACAGTCTGAGCCTCAGACAGTCACTTATATTTACAAAAATCAAACGTTTGAGTTTACAGCAAAACTACGTTCACTCCTAACAAATACAACCAAAACACCGCACACAGTGTCCGCAGGTTTGTCCAAGCTAAGTGTTAAAATTATGTCCAAAATTGGGACCAAAGCACATTTCGTAAACTTTGAAACTATAAGCAATTTTAGCATGTGTTTATACCTAATCTGTGATCCACAGACTACCGTGAGACGCCTCAGGTTCATAGAGTTTTCCGTGTCTCAAACTACAGAATCTTGCGATTTTTGGCCAAATGAGCAGTGTCTTGAAAACTCGACACTTAAGGCAATGGAGACTGGCGGCAAATAAAACCGCCAAAGACCCTACACCATCCCCTTAAATTACTCCCTTAAGAACGCGCTTTTTGACGAAGCCAGTTTCATGTTAATTTTTTGATATTGTTTAAGAGATGAAGACTCAAATAGATAGTCAATGAAATTTGGAGGAATTACGCAATGGGGCATATACACGCCTCCCAACCACAAAGACGTGGTAATGGAGTGATATTTGATTTGACTAAAAAAGAAGCTCTATTTCCTACCTTTTTATTGATTACTTACACAATCGAAGGTGTATGCCTTAAGATGGACGCAAATGATGATTTTACAATTTCTGGGACAGCAAAGTCCCAAAACTGATATCAATTTTCAAGTATTAGCAACCAAAAAATACCATTCCCTCTTTAGGTTCCTTTTCTTTGCTGTTCCCAGTGCTGAATGCACGATCGAATATATTTGTGAGACTTTGCAATATGCGTTAATTTTTTGTGTTAGGAGAAAAGAAAGCCTTGAAGTATGTGCGACAGTCCATCTATTGAAAAAAAGCCAACAACAAAAATGACTTACAGAGCCGATAATGACAGCGTTGGAGTACCTCATGGGCAAATAGGCCGCCAGACCAAACGTCAGCGTCTGGTGAATGCCCACGCAACCTAGGGTGAAACCAAAAGTGTTACTGAGCGTCTGGGTGATTGGATTTTCACAGATTGGGAAGACTTACAGTTAATAAGAACAACTGAAACCATCGTCAGGCCGAAAAATAGTGCAGGCACTAGCTCCAAAAAATAAAAAAATGAAATTGCAGTGCTTTAGTGCTTAGACTAACAAAACAAATAACATGATACCGGCAAGAAAGCTTTAGTCAGGGTTAAAGAGGTTTCAGATGGAGTAAAGACCAGCGCGTTCAGATTTCGGCTAACTGCGGTTTTGTTTAGATGCTTTCTATTGGCGGTCAGAAGTTTCGCAGAGTGAAAGTAATTAAAAATAGGCAATCTCGAATTTAAGTCGAGTTCAATTTTAAAAATTGAGATGGCAATATCTAAAAAATCACTGCCTCAGAAAGTTCTTTTTCAGTTAATTTTGGATAAAATACTATATGATCCTACGTATGGGCTCTGTTTCCAAAAATGGCAATTTTCTTCTTCAAAATTGTTATGCATTTGCAGACGGAAGAAAAAGTCCAAAATAACTTGCAATATAACCTGAATTCCATTACAGTTGTAATCATACATGGGTCTAATGGTTGCTAAGACTTTTATGGTTTATACGACATATTTTAGCAAAAAGGCCAAATTGCTAAAGAAATTGATCATTTTGCTAAAACTATTTTTGCAGTGGATAAATAAACGTGCAAAATACTTGCCTTGAGAGGTGTCCACAAATACCAAAATCGTTGTAAAAAGAAGAATGACAAACTCCAAACTCATGACGATAAGAAACCGAATGGTTGGATTGGAGGCACTTAAAAAATAGGCGCAGAGAATAAAGGGCTGCCGTGTGCAATCTGCTGTAGAGGTTTTCAAAGTCGATCTTATTAATAATAGCAAAGTGATGGGAATGCATGTGCCTACTGAAATTAAACTGAAGTGAAAAGCAGCTTTGCAGAAAACTTCATATTAGTCGAACGAGTTAACGCCAAGAGGATTTACTGATTTGTACTATACTTTCTTTTTTTGAAATAAATGCAGTTTGTCTGGAAAAAAAATAATAAAATACATTTGTTTGTCCAAACCCGTTTCAATTCTACGAGATATTTCGTTAAGTAATATGCCGCTACTCAGATTAGCAATTGAAATCTATCCGATCACCATTTTACGTAGTAAGCATTAGAGAGACCCCACGCTGGTAAGAGATAGCAGCGATCGACAAATGCAGTAAGGGCTGTTACCCGGGTAACATTTAGGTGTAGGAGTAATTTCTTTAAGTGAGCACTTGATGTGGCGTATAGTCCGAAATTCCACATTCGTCTTTCATTTATTAGAAATCAAAAATGAATGTCTACTTAATCAGCGCTGTTTCAATTTTAGAGCTTTTAAAGTGCCAGAGAATTGCACTTTGCAACTTACCTCGACTTTGACTGAAAAAAGGTGTTCCAGGCTCCCATTAAAAGATTTGGCAACTGAGCACCAATCGCGATGTAACTCAAAAAGTTTATTCGGTAATCGGATGTTGCACTTGACTTGGTATTCAATTTGTAGTCAACAAAATACTATGCGGTACAGTTTTTAAGGTGCAAACGTACCTCTCGCGCATTTATGAACACGTTCCATGGAAGAAGAAAGCCGATGCCATGAAGAACAAAACAAATGTATGCCAAGAAAAACCTTAACTAAATAAATGAATCCGGATGCCACAACCTATCCTTTGGCGGTTTTCCTTTCCCAAATGTCATGCTTAACCAAGAATACGTCAGCCGCAATAATGAGCCGGGCTGCTTTTGGATAAAATTTGTGCAACTTATGCTTAGCCCTAAAAAAGAAAATAAAACCAAGTTTTTTAATAATATAAGTTCACACAACGACTTCTATTTTTCCTCGGCCCCAATTAAGTCCAGCATTTCTAATTCATATGATGTTCAACTCAGTGCATTTAGGTTTTTATCACAGACCCTAAATAACTTATCACTCAAAAATATAATGCCCCTAATGACCATGAGTAAATAGAAATTCCCAAATCACAGGAAAGCAATAAAAATTAAACCGTGGCATCTCACAACGAGTTAAAAACGCTACAAGCCCTTAAGAGGAAAATGCACTGGTTCGATTCAGACTTTACAAGTTAAATAATCTTTTGTTAATTGAAAAACAAGTGCATTAATAACTAACAGCTCTGAAGAAGCAATTTTAACTGACACTAACTGCATCATAGGCCGCAAATACTCTTGGTAGACGTTTGTGTACCAAACCATAGATCAAAGTGTGAAACGACAGTGCTCCGTTCTCTAGTGTGTTAATAATAATTGGTACGTCGTAGTTTTATGAAAAAGTCAAAGTAAAAATTGCTGTTAATTAGAAACGAATAAGAACCAAAAAATAAAATGGTGTCATTTTTGAAAGATGCTTTCTGCTTGTTCAAATTAGCAATTCAAATACAGGCCATTTCTATTTCTAACTGCATAAACACTCAACGACGAGCATACATCTATTTACTCAGTGCAAAAACGATGATACTTAAGCAAACAATCATGAATAACATGAAGTGCAAGAAGAAGGGGACTCAATTTAGCATATTACGAGTAAAATATCTAAAAACAATCTGTATTAGTCTTGCATTTTCAAAGACGCAATGTTCTTTTGGCAAATACGTTGATGAATTGAACTAAACTTAAATAAAAGTAAACTTGACTCTCTACAAAGCATAAACTATTTGTTGTCAAGATTAGGAATATAATCCAACAACACATCACCAAACGTTTGCCGGAATGCATTTGAGTGTGTTAAAGCGAAGGTTATCGTGACATCCAGTTTTGAATTCGTGCAATATTTTGTGCAATAACACGATTTACAAGAAATTCAAAACAATATTCACGAGCTGGCAGCAACACACGATGAAAAGATAATAACTATACACAGGTTAGTGCAAATACGTACTATAAAAGGCTGCTTTTGATAAGTGATAGAAAATGGAGTTTCTAGGCTAAACAGACCTTTAAATAACTTTTGTAAGCCTCCACAGCGAACAATTAATTACAAATATGCTGGTAGTGCTCCAGGAAAGAGCAATTATTAAATTTTTGGTGTTTACTATTTGCGAATAAACATGAATTTGATTGTGTTAAATAAATTCTGGTTGAGGTAAATCACGATATGAAGCCAAGATATTCATTGCATTAAAAAAATCATCTCCTTAACATGTAACATAAACATAATTTGGGTCAAGAGAAAAACGACAACGACATACAGAGACCAAGTTGAGGGATAAAAACTAAACGTCACAGAGAGCAAATAACCTTGAATAAAGATGAAATCTAATGGTTTAAACACGGTTACACTATAATCCTTCATTTACTTATATAACTTTATTAATGACATTTTTGTTGCAGTTTGCAATATCATTTTTAAGCTACTTAAAAATCTAAAAACATGTACAAGGATAAATTATTTAAGGACCTGTTCAATGCGAATATGAATGCACAAATAAACGTACGCATACATATTTTTGATTTGGGCATGAATTTTAGAAAACTATCATAAATATTAATTTAAGTTCCAAACTCGAAATATAACATATGTAATTTGTGTAAATCCAAATCATTGATTTTGTAAATGAACGTGACGTTTTCCATATGTGCATATATCATGTCGCTGTTCCACCGTTATACGTCAGTAAATTGTTAATGAAGTAACGGTAAAAGCAAACAACTCTAATGATTTTTGACTTTTTTTGATTGCTTTTATGTAGCACTGTTTTTAAGTTTCCAATTATCTGTATACATAATTGAATACGCACAAACTTATTAATATTTGTGTTGGCAGCACATAAATAATATTAGCATTAACTATGACGGCACTTAGTGTCTACTGACATCGTTTCGCATTTGTATTCTCAAAATCTTTATGTAGTTCGGCAGAATATCTTTTTGATTTATCATTGCTTCCATTATGCTTTCAGTTTTTTTCCAACTTCCTAAGAATTTTAAAATTAATGAAACTAATTTCGAGGACAGTATAATCATACCGTAAACACAAACATCCATAAATAATCACATGGCTATGACTTGATTCTCAATTTTTAAGTTGATGTCCTTATGGAACATTGCGTCCATTGCTATTAACCACCCTTTTATCTTTTTCACCATCGAATACATCTAGAATCACAAGTGTTGTACTATACTTACCAGCACACGACCCTGCAGCAAACAACCAGCTGTAATAATAACCTTTCCCCCAAATAATTTAGAACCATTTTATTAGATATTAACACTCATGTAGAACCATTGACCTTCCTGTAACTTCGGACAGTCCTTCATTTCTAGGGACCATGTAATGAATATATGGCAAACATCTTGAGGAACAAAAACAGTTCGTGGTCAAGTTTATGCTCATCCGGTTCCCTTAAAAACCTTAATAATAAGATTCGCGAGTATATATGTTATAACCGCTACAGGAATTTGCTACCTATACACACTTGAAGCAAATGCTAATTTCGCGCACAATCAGAAGCATGGGAAGGAGAATCTGTATCAAGCAAAAATTCAAATGCTGTAATGTGACACATATCACTGAAAGAATTTGGTTAGATCTATCGTTGAAACAAAAATTACTAACAGCCACCTATTAAGTTGACAGAAACTATGTCACATTATTATACAGTAACGTACATTAAAAAGTTGTGAGTTGTAATCACACTCTCGAAAATTAAAGAACACATGAAGGTTGAGCATTTTTTGAAAGACATTGGTGTAATATGTGTAGAAAGACAAACACGCAGCAGTGTCGTTAGAAATAGTGCTACAAACCACAGCCATTGAAGCATTCCTATGCTTCGTGTCGGGGTAAACTTAAAAGGTAAGCCCTGACACGTTCTAACTGGGAAACAGGAGATTCGCCAAAAATTTGTTCATTAACTGCAGAAGAATTTTTGCATTGGTAGTGCCGAAGGATCCGCTGCAAGAGGACCTTTTCTGCTGGTAAAATTTTGCATTGACTAATCCAGGAAGGCATTTCTGAAGCCATTGATACAAAGCTTGCCAAGGATGTATCATTTTCGTCTACATAGCCTTCATCGTCGACTTCGATCTGAATGACACCCGTTCGTATTAACTGTAAAGGAAATTGGAATTCAACTGCAAACAAGAAATTGCGGAAGGGTAAGCAGAGCCAAGTGAGCGTAGCTCGCGACTCGTGTTGGGCGATCCCACACCAGAGAAAGTCATGAGTAGGTGGGGCGTTGAGACGTCTCACGAGGGCACAAACCCACTGACGGAGTAAAACACCATCTACAAGGCGCGATGCACTCGTCCAGATAGCGGGACTAGAAAATAAGAAAAAAGGTACAAGTGTTACACTTCCACAGAATCTCCTATCTTTACTTTAGCTTCAAATTCATTTATTTTATAGAGCTAATCATGATTGAAAAGTGGACCTAGTACAATCAGTGACAAATTACACTAGTTATCGAAAATGAATGGAAAAATAACATAGTCCCAGAAAAGGAAATGAACAAATATCTCGGCTTTGCGTCACCTGTGTACTACCTACTACCTGGAATAACAGCAACGACATTTGGTAGTTACTAAGAATAAACAGACACGTGTGACCGCTAACCAATTTAAGGATTTCAACTATGGGAGATCGTGATCGTTTACCTCCGTAGGTGGGTAGGGAAAGACGCCACTCCCCAATCAGGGTCCATGCTGTGCATAATCCCAGTACCCGTCATTGCAACGAGATCGGCCATTCCAGCCAAAGGTTTAGCCACGATCCCCACCAGGCCCTTGCCCACGCCTCCAACCAGTGCTTCAGCCACTCCCGACACTTCGACGCTTTGTCTCTGTCCCGCCTGAGCATTGGCATTGTGAACTGGACAGTTGTTAATTCCAATGACGCTGTGTAGTGGGTGATGAGCAATGCCCGCCAGACCACCTAAAAGGCTCATGCCAAGCTCGCTTAGACCGATGGCTAGCCCCTGTCCAATACCCTGAGGTTGATTGCGTTGGCGGGTTTCTGTGACTCTTCTGATATGCTCGGCGTCCATCGACAATTCATGAAGGTTTCGTGCGAAGTTGGAGGCTAAGCCGGTAACTGAGCTGCACAAGCCACTGAAAAATCGTGATAAATGACAATCGATGCTGATAGCAGACCATACAATTTTTACACGAAAATGCCAAAACCAATAAAAATACATTCAGATTGGAGCAAGATCTTCAAATAACTTGAAGTAGAGGCACATTTATTTGGTTATGACACATCCAAAACTATGTTTGTGAAAGGACAATAATCGGAGATGCTAAGACCCACGAATGTAATTGCTGTGACATTCTAGTACCTACGAAGCATAGCCGAAGACGTTGGTATGAAGTGATAGTAAATAAGGTTAAAGCAAACTAGGTCATCAGATGCATGGCTACTTAAGCCCTCGATTTTAGGTGACTTAAATTTACGAAAATTTCTAGGACAAGTGTGATTGTCTTGTGGTCGAACAGACAAAACCTACCCAGTAGTGTGTTTCATTAACGACACCAGGCCCCGCATCAGACCTCTCAGAAAGCCCAGCTGTTCTTGATTTGTCGTCTTTCTAATGTCCGAAAAGTGCACCAGGTCAGAGAAGCCCTCAGCAAAGGAGGCCACCAGAGAGGCTGGATTTCCAATGAGTTCCAAACCACCCAGAACCAGTCCCACCCGAAGCAGTGCCTGTGAAATGTAGTGCGCGCCAAGTTGGCCCAGCAGCGTTGCCAGAGGCGCCACAGCCTTGGGCAGCTTAAATGCGTTTAATTGTAGTTGTACTGTTTTGCACGAGATATGAACGCCAAGAGTAAACTTTAGCGAAACTTGCAACAAGATAGGATGGATTTCAAAGTCGTGGAGGCAATAAGCAATGCGAGTCGACGGCTCCAGGTTGTTTGCCTTTATAATCCGTTGGGACATAGCACCCCGAAGATCTTGAGCCCAAGATAGAAGTGCGTACATTGCGCCATCTTCGAGGTAGACTTCCATTACTGGTAATTTAATATCAATTTTCTCGAAAAGAAAATCCCCAAAGGGGAGGTGGTGGAGTTGACCACTGCAAACGAAAAGACCCGTGGTGTCTATCTCCGCAACTTGCGAGATTACAGAACGCAATATAACAGGAAAATCGAGGGTGGGTGTGTACACTTGAGCGAGATTGTCGAGTTGAATCAAAGAAGAACTAAAGGTAAATTTTGATCTCGGTATCCCGTACTCAAATAATAGCGTGAATTCAATGGACCTGATAGAGAGACGCAAGAAATCCACTTGGCGCGGTTCGCTTCCTTCTGATAAACAGCCTGATCGGAGGGCGAATATCGAAAAGGTATCAACGTACACAGAAAAAGAGCGCGTTGATTCAACGAGGCTCACAGGAATGCGCGTGGGCGGTTGGTGGGAGAAAATTTCCAACTCAACATAAAATGGAATCGCATGGTTCACGTAAGACTGAATGTAAACAACCTTGTTTCCAATGTGTAGAGGTAGGGGGCTGTTTCTACAGTCGGCTAATCTGACGACTATCTCCTCTGGAACAAGACGAAGAAGAATAGAAACGTCTTCAAAAGTCAGGAACTTAGATACGAGTCGAGATTTCGGAGTATCAGCGGCCAGTAGATCGAGCGATGTCTGAGATATCAGAGTTACTCTACCTTTGTCACGATATAGACATGGCAGCGAGTTTGAGATAGGAAGTTGATGGAATAATTGAAGTCCGACAATTGCAGTTTCAAATGTGTGGCTAGTTGTGTTGACAACACTACATCCAAGAGAATAGCTAAGAGAACTTGCGAAGTCATCCAAGTAAATCATCCACAAACCCGAAGATGAGTCATTGGAAATGGTCAAAAGAATAGAGCACTCATCCATATTTCCTTCTAAAACAAAATAAGCAAATGCCAATAACAATGCATCTAAGAAATAATTAGGTTAAGTGACGACGGTGGAAGTGGGAAAAGTGCAAATATTATAGAAATAACTAATCGGGAATTTACTGCGTAGATATTCAGAAACACAGGTTACACAATTTTTAAAAGCTTGACCAAAGGGCTTATAACAATCACAAAGGGTGAAACAGAGCACATTTTTTCGTGAGTATTTCAGCAAAACAATAGATTGTAGAGGAATCAGCAGTTGTGACACTAATACCCAAAGTGGATATTATTTTTTGGTACTGCCACTCTGTGCAAACGGACACATAGCAGTTACATGCAGGTGTAGGTTTAACAGATCTCACAAACTACCACACCGCTAGACCTTAAAACAACTAACCTTCGTCGAAACTTGGCAAGGAAAGATGGTAGTAGCGTCGCACTTGTTTGGTATGTGAGAAACAGCGAACTCCGTCAGTTGAAAAGACTTCAAACAGTTGTAATGAACGGCTCCAAAACACGCCCAATTGGCTCCGAAGGACAAGAACATGAGCAAACAGAATACCCTTTAAATCGATATCCCTACAGGCCACATTGGGATGGGAGCAGTTCCAAAGTAGAACAGGAGTGGGATTTTTAGCAAAAGGTGGCAGAGTAAGAACTTCAATGCCAAGATCTTCCACAGACACCTATAAAAAGCAAAAATGAAAGGAAAAAACAGGAGAGAGACGTTAGTACATTTGTTTGTAAAGCATCAACAGAGTTTCAACGGCTGTCAAGGCAAGCAATTAGATCGTGGAAAAAATTCTTTACCGAAATAATTTACGAGATCTGTGCTTGTTAATCTTCCATGTTCAAACAAAAAGTCTAAACCTCGTAAAGATTCTAAACGGCACACTTTAAGAAGGTTCAATGCATCAGTCAGCACGGCTGTGGTATCACAAGCGAAACATTTGCTATCCAAGTGTCTCCATACTTTACGTAGGCAAGCAACCTCTACTGAAACATTCAAAATCCAGAATAAATTTAATGGCCAATTCAAGACATTCAGGTGAAGTTGTAAGGTGATTGAGTAAACAACCACAAGCAGGGGAGACTCCGGCGAGTTGTAAATGCCTGACTGCCGTGAGGTGGAAAAAATTTACTTACCGTGGGAAGACGTTGTTTCTCATCCGACATGCTGACTACGGGTGTCACTATGGGTTTGCATAGAATTGGTTGGGACGTGCGATTGACCATACACACGAGAGGCTCAATCCCCACAGTCGCAACATCACCTAGACCAGAGTTCAAGCGAACACAGAGACCGCAAACAGTCTGTCCCAGTGGGAGGGACAATGAAGCAAAGGGGGAGGAATCAGTTAGGCTCATAACTGTGTTAGGGCGGTCCTCGAATCCTACCACATTGGCTGTCGACGTCTTGGTGGAACCAGCAATCAGTGTAATCGTGTTAGACGAAGGAGCATCGGTTGTCTTTCGAGAAAGGAAAACTGATTTGTGGACCAGCAGGGCAGGTGACCAAGTGGTGGAGCAGCCTTGGTCAATCCCAAAACGGAAAAGACGCTAGAAACGAAAACGTTGTCTTTTCTCAAATCATCAATTTAAATTACACATTAGTACAAATGCAACTGCAGATAGGGGTCGTGCAAGCAAGGGAATCATGCAGCAACGATTGAAGACTTTTCATACACGGACTGTGTAAAGAGAAGAAACGTTTGAAACAAGTAAAGAGGATAAGGTTATACACAAAAGTGCTAACTTGCCAGTTCAATATGTTGCTGCTACAGTTTAACGAAGATCAATTTGCCTTAACCACGGCTACGGATGTTTGAGATAAAAAAATATTTCAGGTGATTTACAACTACCTTTCTCAGAGAACTTTAGTTAGCGATGGGATATGAGTGAGCTGTTCAATTTTTCCCAAAAGAGCCTTCGCACGGGGCACACAAAGGCCTGCATTGCAACCGAAAGGCCATACCATACCGAAGAATGTCATTTCGTCAACAAGATCAGTAGCGCAAACGGAGACGTGCGCAAAATCAAAACCCAACGCAGGCATACCTCGCCAGCAGGCGGTACAAAGCATGAGTCGGTATTGAAATTGATTGAAGATTTCTGCGGGTTGCCCACGAGTTCAAGGCTGGCCGAGGTGAGAAGACGCAGATTGATGCCACTGCGATTGCTCAAAATTAGCCAGGGCTTAACAACTACGGAAAGTAAACCGGTTTTTTCCCTCCACGGCAGCGAAAGTGATGACTCAAATACGGGAGTTTTGTCGCTAAAAAGTGGAGACCCAAATATTAGTAAAGAAAACTTTTGAATTCCTCGTGAAGGTGTTGACACCGTTTAAACAACAGACTAGAACATAAAGTTAAAATGCTCCTTCTTTTGGTTAGGCTGTTAAAAACCAGGAAAGATCAACAAAATTACTAGGAAGGGAATGCATTAAATAAACATTTACATTAAAAAAAATAATCGTAAGTAATGAGAAAGAGGACGTACGGAAACTGGAAAAGGAATTCAGGTTGTGTGCACGCCTCAAAGGCCACCACGACGGGCGCTGTGGTCTCTTTGGGAATATTGAAGAATTCGGAGCCCTTGAGTCCCGGAGAGGTGAGAAAAGAGGCACTCGAAGTGTGCGGGGACTTTATAATTAGGTTCAACGGCATTGGAAACTTGTTAGTGATGGACAGAACCGGCGATAAGGTGAGCTTTCGAGAATAAAATAACCCTAGTTTTAGCACATCCAACCTTCAGTGAGGATATACATTAACTGAAAACATACCTCTGTTGCCGCGAGGTTGTGGCTACTATCGTGAAGGTGCTCGACTTCGACTAACACGGGGCACAAAATCCCAGCGACGGGGAGCTAAATCATAGAAGGAAGGAGGTAGAACTCAGGCCTGCAACGCACTATCAAATTGGTAAAGCAACATGTAGAGGATCCACGAAGATATCATAACAAGAATATGTAATAAATAAGACTGCGCATCAAGAGCAGAGCAAATATACTTCGAAATATTCAGGTAATCCGGTGGTAGCATTTTCAGATGATTGACAAAGTATGACGTGGTCGAAATAAGAAACTTTATCACAGGCCTGTTGGCGCAAGTCAGCAGAAATATCTTCCCCAATTTACGCGATCACCAATAAGGCCATTGAAAAGTGTCGATGACAAGATTGGTCAGCCAGAATGGCGTACTTGCAGGATACTTTGCCAGGACAAGCCGATAATGTCTCAAAACTTCGGTAATCGACTTTCATATTTTGGTAAAGGAAAACAATCAGAAGGACTTAGAATGCACACTAGCTAAAAACACCGACAGTTTAATGCTTTGGACGGCCGTAAAACATTAAGAGCCACATTCATCTCGCTTACGCATTGGCAGCATGCAACACAATGCATTCGCACCAAGCACGCATGCGGATTCAAAATTTTTCCACGCATTGCATGCACTGTGTTTGGAATTTCACTGCACATCTAAAGGGTTTTATACTGCCTTGAATTTCAAAGAATGGATGTTTCGCCCTGTCTTTTTACACCAATGGCTTTAGACCAAAATGACGTGGTACGTATTTGCGGCAAAATGCTATAGCAAATTGTTAATGGAAAATCGCAACATTTGGATTTTCCAAAAAAAGTGTGAATATAATGTGTTTGGTGGTAGATTTACCCATAGCACTTTAATTTCAGACGTTGCCAAATCGATACTAGTCCATGTAAGAGGTTCGTCAGAGCCTGAGATGGTTAGAAAGATTTCGGCAGTTTTCGGGGACAGGCAAGGAACATGGGAAGAATTCGAGGCGACGCATTTAGAGGGTCCCTTTGGGTGTTTGACAACAAGATCAAATGGAAGGTTGTTTTGAAGAGTGAATCCTGACTGAATAACAACCTAAAATTGTATGAATAGACAAACACTATAGAAATTGCAAAAATTTTAACATAGTCACTATGAAGGAACTGATACGTGAGGATTAAAGAAGGGGAAGTATTTAGGGCCCCGTACAAGGCACGTTTTGGGTCTGCGTTGTGCTCACAGTCGCAAAATACAAAGTTGACTTGGATACACGGGCCTGAGCGCAGTCGAACGGAGGCTCGTTTTTAAGAACACATGTGAAACACGTTGGGGACCCAGGGTTCCCCAAGATGGCTCATCGTCAGCTTTTTGTCATTATTTATACGAATCCCCGAACCAAGCCACGTCGGTGGGTGGGCCATCCACTGGCATCCTACTGACAACCACATCTGTGCCAACCCGCTTGCATCCATCAGGTCAAGGCCACCCTTGACTCATATGTAAGTGTTCACTTTCTGACAGATCACTCGCCTTTTGGCTGAGACGCTTAAATCTCTCTGCACGAGATCTGGTCGTGTCTTGCATTAGCGTGGGAAGGTCGGTTCTAGCGTCAGACAAGACATCTGGTACCATTTATCTGGGTGGATTTTTCTCGGTTACGGGCAAACGCAACATAACACTGCAGAGCCTACCTCTCCGGGAAGTCCTGATGAATGTCTTCGAGGAAGAATAAGGGTAACATGGGGCAACGAGTTTGAGTTCCCTGCATGGCCACTCCATTTGATTAATTTGTTTGTGTAGTGGTTTTTGTGAACAGGAGGCCAGTCTAACGACAAGGGCGTGCTCCAAATGACCTCGTCCTTAAAAAACGAGCAACAATGGCAAAACCTTCGAGGATAAGAGCAGCAAGGGCGCATTACAATAAAGAAAAGTCAAGAACAAATGCAGATAATTACATTATTTGATATTTTCGAAACGTCACTTTGAAGGACTTGGCATTTTAGGCCCCTTGTGTAAAGTAGGGGACATTTTGAAAAGACCTTTATGCCTCAAATGTCCTGTGGGTGATTTGGAAAGGAAACGGTTGAATTTGTTTTACGAGGATCTGGAGTTTTTAGGATACCAAATTCACCAGAAACGCTTTATGTTGTTTCTACACATTCTTAACAATGGTAAAAGCATAATCGTACCACACATTTCCAGGCTATTGAATAACTCACAGGCACACATTTAAGACATGAGCATGTACACTTTATGTCTAAGGCTCGATATCAACACAAGTCCCCGTCCACAAGATGTTAACTTGTGTAACCACACTTGCCGGTGATGGATCTGGCGAAAAGCTAAGCCCCAGACTGACCGCCCCCACAAACTATTGCGTAAAGCAAATGACAGAAAAGAATGACATTCAAATTACAAAAAAAGATACGCAGTGTTGAACCGAAGCGGAGGTGGGCCGTTAGTGTGAATTGACTATGGGTCAAGAGGATCAGTCCAACATGTAAGGTTATTGGGTTGCAATCAAAAACACTTACAACGCCAACTGATAAGCCAAGTCTGATAGTGATTGTTTGGGCGCCTTGACCTGCACCGAGTGACGTAAGCGGTCGCCATGATGGCAGACTCTCTTCCGCCTCCACTGAGGCACTGACAACATCCAGCAGCGCCTGCGCTGCCGGCTCCCCAGCCAGTTTGGACGACAAGCACTGCTGAACAAACAGGCGTCTGTCGGTTCGATTCCGAATACACCAACCAGTTGCACCAACTCCTGTCGTGATGCGTTTTAGGGCATGAATGATGTCACTGGAAACACAAAGGTAACATGTCTCAATGGAGACGTTATGTCCGGTAACACCGTAGACGCGCCTCAACGTCCCTAGTCGTTGCAGATGGGCTGCGTGGGCACTGAAGATGTGACCGTCCACAGAACTAACTGAAAACCCAGACGCAAGTCTCGGATAGGCGCATACATGGTGGGCAGTGATCGAGTCGACGCCTTGGCTGAGTTCCGACGGCTGTTTGAACAAATGCGCATAGGCAAGGGTGACAACACCGCGGAGTCCAGAAGTCGTCACACGACAGAGCTCTATGCCGGCCTTAAAATACACAAAGAACGTTACCAAATGGAGGGCTTTACCTCATACTCTGTTCTAAAGACTTTTGTTTAAACGGACATAAGCCGCGCATACTAAACTCACACAGATAACGATGGATGTTAAATTTGAAAAAAGCCGAGTTTCTGATTGACGATTAGTTACGATTAAAGGTCAATAACTGCTTAAAAAATATAAACTTAAATCACTAAGGTTTAAATTATTATACTTTATTTCATTTAGGCAACAAAACGTCGTCTATTTGTGGCATTCACGTAACCAGCAACATCCAAATCTGGCTAATGGAAAGTTGTAGAGAAAACGAAAAAAAGCCGCATGCCCTACCGAGGGATACTCCCAAAAACTTCAGTTTGATTTTGCAACCAACTTCCCAGAGCAATTCAACATGCTGTAGAAGTTTAGAGCGTCGGCAAACAAGCATTCCAGTAAACAGGAGGAACTGTGCCTTTTCCGAAAAACGACTGGAACGGTATGTGCTGGAGCAGAACCTCACAGATGAGCTACTTAAATTCTAATTAAGCTGCTTTTGTGCCGGTTATTGGAAACTCCAGTAAAGTACAACCAAGCGTTGATTAATGATTTTCGGACATAATGCTTAAACTTAACTGATTTCAATATGTACTTTAATCAGTAATACCACCTCTACTGCTATTTAACCCTTCTTTCCAACAGCCAACAAGTTTTCCGATGGTATTGTACCAAAAGTTTGTAGAATTGAACTCTAAACTCATGTAACCCAATTTTTTGTGTCAACACTGGTGGATAATGATTAGAAAAGATTAATATTCAATGAAGTAAAGTTTGGAGGATATGTATGATGACGCAAAACCTCTTAATTGAGGGGTAGGATTACAGCTTTCGACCGATTAGCAGCGTAAGAGTGAGCATCATGTTAGGCCAATAGGGCGCCTTCACACTGCTAAGGTCGCATTTCCTCTACACCTGTTAAACCTAGAGGCCTGCCTTGACTGCATTGCATCGCATGAAGAGCTAACTGAATTATGCCTCCATAACCTAACCACTAATTGGTTGCAATAACTTATTCCCTGGCTCAGTACGAAAACTCAAACAGAAATATAGACATTTATGCCTCAAATGAATCGTAAAAGTGGAACCAATATGAATTTGCATTCTCCACATTACACACAAGCATTACATTCAAAAGGTCACAAACCGTAACAGGAGTTAAAGGCAACTAATTAATAACCGATCGAATTTACCTCGCTTCAACACTTTTTGTGTTGCGTTAACAAAAAACTGACATTCGTACAAGCACCTTTATAACCAAAATCCATCTGTAAAAACAAACCATTGCGCTCTAAATCCATCTTAAGACAAATATAAGTCACATGGACTACTTTTTTATATTGTTAAGGCAATAATTGAGATTACATGGATTATTTTAGCGTTTTCTTTAATAGCCGATTAGGGTCCACTGGACGATTCATTAGAGATGGTTAAACCATGATCTGCTGTTCTGTGCAAGGTACCCACCTAGTGTAATAGATTTCAGTATATTTTATTAACAGTAAACTCGGCTGTTAGGGGTCTCGTGGTTAGTTTTTGTTATATGTAGAGTTCGACCCGTGTTTTGAGAATTTAATAAATATATAACGTTCACAGTGGGTTACAGGAATTCCAGGGCGAAGTAGGATTGCTGTTATTGGTGACTATTTATCGACCAAACCGACGACGTGTCAATAACCAAGTAACATTTTGGAAATGATGGAAGGCGATGCATGCAAAAAAATACTTATAAAATGATCCAGCAAAATACCTGCCATGCAGATATGCTAGAGTCGTCCATTCCAACGTGTAAAGACATCGGAGCTACGAGCTCCGGAATGTATGCCGAATCCAATTGAACACAAGCCGCCAAAGCATACGGGGAAATAAAAACGGGAACAACGGTAGGTTCATATTCAGGATTTGCACAATTCATCCTAAAATTCAAAAAACCCCAGTAGTTGTGTAAACAACACATACAGCAGTATCCAAGGTGACTGTGGAGTAGCCTAAGGACGGAGACTACACCCTCGATTAAGTGCTTGAGGGTTATCTTCACTTAATGATTAAAACAGACAGTATTTTTGGGGTTTGAAGAGTGCTGACCAACATGGTGGCTGATACTTTAATCAAGGAGTTATATCCGCCCGTAGTTGGAGTCTTTTCCCAGGTCAAAATACCATTTTCGAGATTCAACTTGGCTGCATTGTTGCAAGCCAAGGGCTTTTTGTGATTTCTAACGTCTAAAACACACAACAAAGCACTTAATTTTACGGATTGGTGCGACGGACAACGGAGTTAAAACTCGATACAATCCCATTGTGCCTACTTCTTATTGTTGGATACTGACAGCGTCCAACACTCACGGGTCACCAATGTTAGTGGATGAGTAGATCTACGACAGGAACGAGCTAAAATGACATACATTGAGGTGTTTTCTGCAACACAGTTGACGATAATTCGCCACGAACTCGCTGCAACAGGTAATTTGGTAGTTGTGTTGAGTTTGGACTGCGATCCCCAAAATACATTGTCAATTCCGCAGACGCTCGACACCAATTCTTGTTTTTGTACGTGTTGGAGAACAGGCTCAGAATCCCGGAATTCACAAAGACCGGGAGGAAGAATTACGTTGACGGAAGCACTTTCACAAAGGCTAAAGTTAGCATAGGTTACGAAACGGCCATGTCCACTCGGGTGTTCAATCCAGTATTCCAAGCGGCCTGGTAACTGTTAAAACAAATATTCATTATACTGAGCTTTAAGAACTTGCCAACTCCAGGCATACCACTAAGGCGCACAACTGGTAGGTACAGTACAAAAAGCACGTCACACAAATAGTTTCTGAATTTTAGATGACGGAAAGATTAGGTACTAAGACCGCAAATACAAGAAGCCCGGAAGCAACTAGCTATAACACCAACCCAAACTAAAGAACTCGAGCTAACGGCTGCGTTAAAATTACTACCGACTGCTTCACAATAAATCCAAAATAACCAATGTGCATGAGGCGCCATCAGTAGCAGCTGAGCCAAAACTTGCTCATAGCCACGTCATGGATAATTATCTGGTACAGCAATGGACATTACTCAACACTTTGGATGCTTTGGAGCCAGATAAACAGGAACCTACTTCGATGTTGCTAGGATCCACGAGATCATTTTCGTAAAAAAAGGGCACTGGGTTTATTATAAGGCGAAGAGGTTGTCGTGGTTCAGGGAAAGTCCAGGTCATTGTAGCACATCGTTCGTTTGCGTCTTCGGATGCAAATTGGTCGTGATCAGCCAGCATGATTTCATATGGAAGAGGCAGATGACGAGGCGCGGGCCTCGAACCCGAAGGTCTTGGGAGCACGGACGCCGAAACTTTGTAGGTGGATTCTGACCGCAGGTCATCCACAAAGACGCACCGACTCGGAAGACGCTGAGGAGCGGAAGTCGGCACTGTCGCCACCGCAGCATCCCTTTTAGAAGACAACGCGGCAAAAGCTCGCGTGATTCTACCGAAGTCGTCTCCAAGAGGAACGAGGAACTTCGTACCTCGGCTGACTTCCACTTGTACACGCGTAACCGGTATACTCACATTAGAGAGTTCGACACATGCTTTGCATGAAATGCCCATTCCAGTGGGAATAAGTTGAAAATTATTCAGGTAGGCGTCTGTGAGGTCAGCTGTTAAGTCGACACATAAGCGCATCCACCCATTTAGCCCACTAACAGAAGCTTCAAGTTGAAGATGTTCGGTAGTAACTCGGAATTCGTCGCTCCCAGCAATCAATCTAGCCTAAAGTAGAAAGTATAGATAAATCAAAAGAAGCGGAAGTATGTTGCGTCTAGTAATAGATTTGGCATATACTCACAGTAATTGGGCAAGTATAAAGGTTTAAATGATGAAAGGTTGTAGCGATGGCGATAAACGGAGCCCTTAGCTCGTGTACAGACTTCGTGGATTGAGCTCCTGACCCTAGTGTGCCAAGTGTCTCAGTCAATGTTGAAAGGCATCTAAGCATGACCGGGGTAAGGATAAGCTCCACTTCTCGTTGAAGACGAGTGGTAACCTCGAAGCGTCCAGCCTGAAAATAAAACATTAAAACGTTTATTGAGACTTCAGGTCGTTACCGTGCAATACCCCGTATACTTACCATGGATTCGTGCCGAACTAGACGGATCGAAAGAAATTCCAAACGACCCGAAGTGGAGAAGCAGGCTCTCTCGTTGGGTGAATTAAGCACCACGGAAGCTCCAACAATATCGCATGGACCGAGTTCTGTAACGCGTGGTAAAGGTAAGCGACTTGGGATGGGCCGACAGCTTCCCCCTGGTGGGGTGGGACTCCAAAACGTGCTACTCTGCCAGTCGGATTCCCGCCCTTCGATAAATGACCGTAAATGCACCTACAAATAAATTAGAGCCAAAGATATGACGCAAGCTTGGACAATAACTAGAGACCTATTGACTAAGCTTCATTAGCAAGAGGCTCTATGCATTGCGCATGCATGAATACGATCATCTATGAGTGAGAGTACAGAGTACTAAAGCCAGTTCAAATGATATATACTTGTAAGTTGTGCAGTCCAACGTTCAATGCATCGGCAGTCCAGAGGAAGTGTGGCTGAATTATGTCTAGCACAGAGAAGTCCCACTGGTGCTCCGAGCACCCGCTCTTCTCCCACAGTACGAACCGCAGCAATCCGCATGTGAGCAGAATACGTGTTGGTTGGTTGTTCCCCAGTAGTGTATGATATGCAGGACTTGTATCCTCTTCAGGTGTTGCTTTCGTAGTTCCACCCAACAGATTTTGGAGATACATCGACAGAAACGAGGTGCCAAGAGTGAAGACTACATCGTGACGGACATTCACCTCCAGTGTAGAACCGAATAAGAACCTTGACTAAAAAGCACACAGATTCAATGACAATAATGACGTACCTTCTACAAACTCATTCCACGATGGACTAGTCAGCAGATTTTAAAAATAATTGTGTCCCTACGAAAATAACAAACTCTGACATAAACTTCCTAAAATTCTTTTATGTTGCATGTTTGGCTCTCAATTTGACATATTTATGACTGAAAAAATTCCTGTCTGAATTGATAGCTCAATAAATAAAATACAGCTTAATTAAAAAATGGGTTTATTAATCAATACTTTACTCTTCATCATCTCCTGCAACTATCCTCCCGGGGTTTTACAAGATTTCATTTTCCTTCCCTGCAGGAACTCTAAGGTTTGTCTTCAAAGAAGAGCAAAAGATTGTTTTCGGCAAAAAATCAAAGATTTGCCATTCAAATAATTTTACAAAGAGCAAAATTTGAACTCCTGAAGGGACAAGATCAGGGCAATACGTGGAGTGCTAGGAAATTTCCTATTGAACTCCTTGCGTCGGCGCAGTGCCTGTTAAGCGACACGTGGTCTTGCGTTGTCATGCTGAATGATGATGTCTTCACGATTGGTCGAATTTGCACGTTTTGTACGGACTCCAACATGGGGTTGGATAAATTTTTCGAGGTGCTTCGCCACGCTACTTGTTTGGCCACGTAGAACGCGGTCTTCTGCAGTCCCACCAAACACAAATCACCAATTGCCTTGGCTGCAAATCAACCATTGCCGCAGATTCTACTCCCACTCTGGTTTCACGTTTGCCAGTTCGTTTGTTTATTATGCTGTAAATGAAGCTTTTCAATTTCCACTTTGAATACTAACCCTGCGCACAGGTTAACTTGGATACACTCTTTAAGGCTATGATGGCTCACGACACATTTTGTAATTATAAAAGAAGTATCAGCGCAGTCGAAAGTGCTTGCTCTTGACAGCCAATCTTGAATTCGAGCAAACCTTTTACAATCATCCAAACTTGCAATTCCCCAAACATTAGTCCACCACTCAAGTGGTATTTTTTATTTTTTGATTAAATTGGGTTAAAATGTCTGCAAGGAAGGATTACCAATTAGTCAATTAAGAACTTTCTGACGGTCCTTTACAACGTGTCAGCAAGCTGTGTGTAGAGCTAAGAGCTTTAAGGACAAAGAAAAGACTATTTACCTGACCAAAATTGAGGCTTGTCTCGCAAACTGGTGCAGCGAAAGTAAAAAGTACATCCAGGGGTCGCAGGACGGGCAGCACCCAGACAGCGCCATCGCTACAAATGGAGACAAAAAAGATCAGATCAGAAGGCTGATCCCACTCAAGTCTCTCAGCTGCCGCGTAGCTTACTCACATTTCACCTTCATGGGTTGCAGCCTGATTCCATTCAAAAGCAGGGTATTGGCCAGTTAGAATGGGTTTGTGTTCTTGAAGGTGGGGATGGCCTGAGGAATTCAAAGAAGCAAGAAGATTGACTGCCCAGCAAGTGAAACCTTCAAACCGAAGTGCATATTGTCTATCCTCGTGTGGAGCCCCAATTTCGTTGGTTAAGGTAACGGTACTTTCACTGGACGATTTACTATGCGGCCTCGTGGTAATGCAGTTAACGGGGAAAGGATAGAGACGAATAGCAAGTAGGGTGATAACAAGTGTATTGGGGGAGTCTTCAAATTTCTCTGGCAGATCAAGCAACTGAAAAAGTGGAAACAATGTTACAACACTTTTCAGGAAAAGAGAATGGGAAAGTGGAAGTTTACCCACCCCAGGGGAGGGGAAGAAGAGACGTAATTCGTCAACGGCCAGAAACATCAGAGGCATACAATGCCCCGGAAGCGGTGCCTTGACCTTCTTCTCCCCATCACCACAATTCAGCTTGACCTTGCGTTGAAAGCCAAACTCACTCAGAATGCCTTGCACAATGCGTGCAATCTGAGGGCAGAAGACTAAGTCAAGTGGTTTTAACCTGGCATAGACACAATTAATAAAGGGGGGACACGCATTGTCAACAACTAAATCGCCATCTCGAAGAAATTGCTCACAGCGACTGTCCACCCAGCGGGAGAATCGTTTACCGGCAAATGTATGGCGCACAAAACTGGCAGGACTCCGAATCAGAGAGACAAAAAGGGCTGGTTGTGATTGCCGAGATGAGGTTACATCAGCACCATCATTAGAATCAGTGTCCTGTGTTTCGTTAAGCTTATGACGTCCTTGAGTGATCTGAACCCTTTTGTAGGGCCCCATTCCAGGACATGGGGTGACAATCTGAAAAGGTTTGAGGAACTGATGTTTTGGCCCAATCAAGGGGAAGCACCTAGAGTTGATTGAAGTGAAATTAGAACAGCACCATGGGATGTATTAATGTACCCTAATAAGTACCTTTCAGGGGAGCGCAAAAAAACGCTCGCGCGGTCAAGCTTCAGAGAGAGGCGCATTGCGGATAATGGATCTGTGATGAAAATTTTTACAGAAAAGTCCTCGATCTCCCAAGATATCATCGACTTCTCGTTGACCAAACGGAAATTGCCACTGGCGACGGGAAGAGATACTCGAATACAACCGGTAACAGGGATCACATTGGCTACATTGGGCGATGGAAATGGGGAAGTTCGATGTTCACTGCGTCTTTTGGACTCGGCCCATTGATGTGACAATAACTGTGATGCATGGGAAGCCACGGGAAATAGTCTCTTTGCAGATCCAGTCAATTCACAGCTGGACTGAGCGAATTCGACAGACGACAGAAGATCTGATCGAACACGAGTTCCTTTAAGTGCAGAACAGTATGACTTAGCGAGCTCAACCACCTTCAATGTCTAAAATGGAAAAATGTAAAGAGATTACCTATTCCATCCGACAGTAGGTAGTAGCCATTCAAAATAATGACATTTTATGGCCTTGTTCTTATCCGTGAGCGATTTAATACAGGATAATGAAACGGCTGGCCCGAATAAAAATATTTCATAATAATTTGCTGAAGTCGAACAGAAGTTATTACGACATCAAAGTGGTACGAAATAATTCTGCATGCGTTTCGATTGGTTTAGTATATGAATACATAAGTACCTCATCGACAAGGTTTGCAAATTGGGCCTGAGTGTCGGAGACAGCCACGGCTAGCTGTGCGATTTGTCTGAGGCTAGGCGCATCACCCCACGCACAACTGGAATTCTGGGTTATGCGCAAATAACTATTCCACGAGATGCCGGAGAGGACATCATTCAGCTGTTTGGTCGAAAGCACAAACAGCAAAAGGCAGGACAACTCCAAAGCTTCAAGAGGACAAGATGTATCACCAACAAAGAGCTTAATTTTGGTGATATTACAATCCCACGAGGTGGAATTAGGATCCAGAGAAGGGGTTCCCTTGTCGTGGACGCTTTGGCTACTTTGTCGCTGAAGACTCTCAGCCGAATCACTCTCTTCGACTTCGAAACCACTAAATCTGGTCTCATTCATTTCCCTCGCCGAAGGGATGACTGCTGAAAGCGGAGAAAGTCGTGAGTGAGGTCCACGAAGTGCCATTCGATATAGTGTGAACTGAGTGAGCTTTGTCCTATTCGGTGGATCGAGCGAAGCAAGCCATACTTCCAATCCACCGATACAAAAGTGGTTTTTTATGGGGCAAAGGTAGAAGGTCGACCCCGAAACGACCAGCTAAAACAAATAATATATCCTGTCAGCATGGTAGTCAAAACCAATGCAAGAGATGTGTTTCCGCGAGGTATTTAGTTCAAGAGTTGTGATTACGAAAACACATGGTCATGCCCTCGTTTCGAAATCTCACTTGATTTTGAATTGACTGATTCAGGGTAATCACACTCACCAAATATGCTAATAACATAACGAATTGACATTTTTCTACTTGTGCCATACTTACCTCCACGTCACAAGTTGTAAGCCACTTGTAGTTAGCAACAAGCCACTCAGAAAATGATGAGGATGATGGTTCACTAGAGGTGAATGTTTTCTCGTCGTCAGAGCTTAAAGCCCGATCAGAACTCCGGATCAGGGACTCTTCGTGACTGCATGAAATTGAATCTATTAAAAAGAAAGCAGTTTTGTAGACGTCCGCCTTCAACTCAATCCAAAAGAACATTAAGAAGAAAGGCTCCATATCTTACTTTGTGACTTCGAACAGGTACCCAGCCCAGGGAATGGTGCTATGGATGTTTCCGTTTCGAATATTTCAAAGGCCTTCTTAAATGCACTGACAATGTCCGTGAACCAGTTCAAGAGAGTAGAGGTAACAAGAAATTTTATTGGTGACACCATCAAGGTTAAAGATGAAGGACCTAGAAATTTTTAAAAGTTAAATTACAACCCGAATAAAATATTTTGTGGGAGGTGCTAAGTAAACAACTCACAAAGACAATCAAGTGCAGGAATCACCTTTCTTTCAATTTCACATGAAAGTATGCCCTTCGAACAACCCGTTAAGCCTTCGAAAACAGGAATGACCCCATTATTTGCGATTTCAACTAGATTTCCCGTCAAGTCCGGTCCCTCAAGAGTTGCACTGAAGAAAGTTTTGGTTTTTCCCGATTGAAAATGCAAACAAATCGATCCACTTGAAGTAATGTCGAGAGTAAGATTGTTAGTAAGCCGAGCTATAAAAAAAAATTAATAAACGAATGCGTACAAATGACATAGCCCTCAAATCGACCTAGTTTTCACTGACCATCATTCAATTCTTCAAGATGTGCGAGTGCCACCTCGTTAAGTTGAACACCGTAGTGACATGCTTCCGGCCGTTGACCGTTGACGTAGTGAGACAGTGCAGAAGCAACCGCACCTCCATAGACATGCAAGTACATCCCATAAGCAACCAAGCTTCTTAAAATGACAGAGTTACAGCGCAGAACAATTTTAGGAGTCGATTTTAGACAGCTCTCAGTTTCCACAAGGTCTTTTAGAATGCGGTGTGGCCAGGAATTTACAAAAAGGAGATTCCTTTGAGATAGGGTAACCGAGACAGGCGAAATTAATTTCTCCAGACCTAAGCAAATCTGCACATTTGATATTGTCACTAGTCGCCGAACGTAACACCTGTTAAGAAGATCTGCTTGCAGAGCCCTCGTGGTGGCATTTTCATTCTCGAGTGCCACACAAATCCCATCATTTCCTTCTACTTGTCTGCGAATTGTCTCAAAAGTGCCGCAAGTGCCAGAAGTAAAGTCTTTGTCTCCCCAATACTTTGAGTCGAACAAGCTCTCCAAAATAACCCATTCATGGAAAGAGGTGTTGACTTCAGAAAGAACGCCAGCTGAGGGGTAGAGATGAGTCATGCGAAAGACCAGGCGAACGGAATCTATGGGAGCAATAACGAACACCTCGATGTTGTCCATCTTGATGTTGAGAACTGAGAAAGGACTGGTCGACTAAAAAGGTAAAGAGAGAAAGGTGAACTAAAGTTACTGTTGGCGACCGCAATATTTTAATTGTCTAGCCTTATTCAAGGTGTGGCTGACTTAACGCGGATGAAATCTTAATTAAAACCAATCAGATCATTGTATTAGTCAAGAGAACGAAAAAATGAAAATTGGCACGGGAAAAGCTTCAGACAGAACTTTCCACCAAATACTTAGTCCTTTGTCAACAGTTCAGTAGTACCAGCCACCTTGCAGTGTAATTCATTTGTTCAGGACGCCAACTGCAAGAACTTGATAGCTTATAACTCGAACTGTAATTGATTATGGAATTGAATAATGATAAAAGTCTGAAAATGATTCAGGGTCGTTTTCTTTAAAAATCTAGGATAAAATGATACCACAGCGAATAGATGTTGAATAAGGTCTCTACAACAAATACCTGGTAGACGTATTTTGGAGGGAAAATGTTCAGTTGAGTCGAGACCACATGGCCACGAATTGCTTTATTTGGAGTATATCGTCCCATTTTGAGCATTTCCATTTGAGTAAACCGACGGTCCATCGGTTCTAAAGGAGGGAGAGCTAAATGGAAAATATAGGGATTAAGGAGTAAATTGTAAGTGTAGAAAATCGGTTAGTAAGTGGCAGGCTTCCGAAAAGAGGGGAAAGTGGAGTTAACGAGCACAAAAACACGTGGTACAATAAAATTTCGATTCAAGGTCAAAACCTGTCGTAAAGTATTTGAAGCACATTTGACTAGTAGCTAATTTTGTTCTAAGACTAAGATTAAAATATGGCACATGCTCAAGGACCGGCGTCGAATTTATGCTTCTACTCAAGTAGAGTCCTCCGTGGACGAACTCAATCACCCAAATTGAAGTGACGGCTCTCAGTACACGCATCCCGATCCCTGATCCCAAAAAGTACACTTGTACTAAAGCCAATCTCATAAATTTATTTAAACGTAAACTCACCATTAAGTAAGTCCCAGTCCGCACAAGGTTTGTAGCATTTGGAGCCTTCAATAAGTATATCGAGAAAAAGTTCCAGTATGTGAAAGATGTTCGCTGTAAAATTTAATGTGACTTCGCCAACGAAAAACCTGGCAAATGAGTAAGTCCTCAGATCCTGACGTTTTTCTGATTCTTATGAAGTAAACACAGGACAGAAATAAATGAGTTGCTTGAAAATTGGTTGAATTGATAAGACTTGGTAGTAAAATGAGGCTTCGCCATTAACTTTTTATTATTAGTGGATACCTCGGTGGAGTATTTGAGCTTTCAAAGAAGCGGTCCAAAACAAAGCACGAAGGTAAGAAAGCCGTACCTTTGCTATTTTCTTCGGCCTCCTTACTGAAAATATTATCGGCCCAAAAAGCAAGCAGATGATTATTGTCCGAGCAGCCAGCCCTGTAAGCCACGTAATAATCTTTTCGACAAAGTGGAGGAAGAAATTGGTTGGGCTTTAAACGCTGGGATGAAACGACAGGCTGAGAAGCATAGTCAGCGGATTTGAAATTAGAATCACCGGAGAGGCCTTTTTCAGGCGTTGTAACTTGATGTGTCAGGTGAGAGAGTTCGTCACAAAACAAACCACAAAAGGTCCTGGTCAAAGAGTCAACATTCTCGTCGCCATTGTTATTATCACTTTTCCCATTTATTTTGAGAATATCCTGGGACTAAAATATAGTATACAAACGTGTACACACTGAAACCAACAAAGGTATAAGATGGAGTCCAACACCACTTACCAGGTCAAGACAATGACGCCACCTTCACAACAAGATGTTTCAATGTAAAGGCTTAAGAAAAGTGTAACCAGCCACAGAAGCTTAGAAAGTTAACCATGACACCTAAATAAATCAGTTTACATAGAATTGCACACAGAACACATTAACCAAAAAGCATCTCACCACCCGCTATAGCAAACACCACCACATAAATTGATTGTCATAAAATTACTGAACCACAATGGCATCCTACACTGGGGTTATCAGAGCAGCTCGGGGAACGGAAAGCTTAAATTAACGTCGGGAAAAACATATACTGGATACTTGGTGAGATCAATAATGGGTGGGTATAAATAAGTTAAAAGTTGTATGCGTACCTCAAACGAAGAGGAACATTTTGTGCCACAAGGGCAAGTCTCACCAAATGGGCTTATCTTAAGTAAGCCAACGCCAATTTGGAGGCTACCGAAATTTCCGTTATCCTGAACGCATTGAAATCCAAGATTCTACAAAACAACAGTGTGCAAATAATGCATAGATTTTACGTTACAGTTAGAAAATTCTACGAATGCAAACCAACTTCGACAAGGATTGTCAGTAAATTGAACATTGGAGAATTGCGGCGCAAGTTTTTCGTAAATGAAGACTGACTACGAGCAGATGCCGTTTGGCAGATTGGATGAATGGTCTGCGAAACGCATTAAGAGAATGTAATTGATATATAATACCTTGACGCGAATTCGGATTTTCTTCATAAGAAAACCTAAAACAAGCAGCGGTAGGGGTTTTTGGCACCTCTTCAAACGATGCAGGCGAACACGCCTTTGGTGAATAGCCTTTGCATCCTCGTGAGGTAAGGAAAGTCCATCGTCGTAGAGTAATTTTAGGTATTCGGCTCGTGCCTCACACAGTGTCAATTCGTCAACACTGCCAAGAGATATGTCAACCCGATCATCATCGTCGATGCTATCATCCACAGGTGCAGAGGAGGCGAATGAAGAAGCAAAGGGCACAAATGACCAGGCCCATTGGGACCATGATTTAGCTTGGTAATCACCCACAGTGTACGCGTCAGAGATAACGTCGTCCTTTCGATCATCACCTTGCCGCTTCCCAATTACCTGCTTATCTGATAGCGCCTCCCATCTGAGGATATTACTGGAAAGTGCAACCAGAATCTCCAACATGCGTGCAATTAGGGGTATCTGCACTTGACTTAAAACTATTTCCACTAGCTCAGGGCAAAAGAGATGTGCAACGCAAATGGAGGCCAGACCGTTGTTATTTTCAGTAAACACCATCTGCAGTCGAATATCAAAGTTTGAGCGATAAATAACGGGGTCTTGATAGGTCGAAATGTGGCCCTTAGCATCACAGCGATCGATGCAAAGGGTCAAATCAATTAACTTGAGAAGACGATGGAGAGAGTAGTTTCCGGTTGTCTGAGCATCAACACCCCGCTCCCAAGTTGGAAATGTAGGGAAGCAATCCAAAGATCGAATGTTTAACGAAATTACAGCATCATCTTCGACAAATTTGACAATTAAGTTGTTCACCACCACCTCAATGTTGGCAAATATTCGGGTGAGGTAAGACTGGAGATAACTAGGAGGAGTCAGCGTGTCAGCTTGATCAGAAGACTTCTTTGCATTAGGATCACGACAGTGATCATAAGGGCGCTTGAAAGCGAGAACGCATTCTACAGTATTAAGTGTGATTACAATGCTGGATGAGCCAAGTCGAGTCCAAGGCACCTGGATACGCAACTCGTGGACGTGGCCGGAAATAAAACCGACAGGCAGAGGCATAAGATCCTCAACAATATCATATTGCAGTTCAACATAATTAAGAACAGCGTCGCCTCCCCAAAGAGAGAGCTGAAACTGATCCTCGCGTAATTTTACATACTTTCCAAGATAGCGCATCAACAAGGGACCTAAGTAGGTCTCAAGGCTGAAAATTCTCTGCATCAGTTAGGCCTATAACATATACAGAACCAGTACAAACAGAGCGTTGTGGCTTTAGTGCAACGAATACTGCGGAAGGCCAACACATGACTAAGACATGGAGATGGGGCTGAGCTCAAGGGAAAAACTGCCCTATTGAAAGCATTGCTTTAACAATTAAGGCAGATTGAGACATACAGGGTAGAATAATCTACACTAACCAGATCGCTTTGTGTCGCAAATCTGTACTTTTAAATATCACCAAAAACAGCTAATTCCTTTAACGTAAATGGCATTTTCTGTAAGGGCTTCAAAATCTGCGAATTACTTAACTTGCTTCCCCATTTACTAAAAGATATGAAAACATATTACTTTATGCAAAGAGTTTAAAGCCGAAGAAATTAGCTGAAAATGCAAAATATATATACCGATAAACGATAGCTAAGTGTCAGAGGGATAAATAAAAGACCATAATACATTTCTATTGTATACAAAATTGGACCTCAAACGAGCAAGTCGGCTAGAAAAAAAAAGATTTTGAGTGTTAAAACAGATGTATACAAACTTTCAAGTGCCATTAAATTTATTTTGATTCATAACGGATAAAGTGTGAATAAATACCACATATTTATTCACAAAAGCGCATTTATGTAAAAAAAAGGCTGGCAAATACGAATAATCGGTGGTAGGCTACAACAAAATCAATCATATCTGACGAAAATCAAGCATAAAGCTGCCAAACATTCCGCGGTTGCAAAGACTTCTAAGAATATTAAATCTCTGAACTGTTGTTTGTGACAAGGTTAGCATTCGTGCCAGCAGAATAGATTGTTGCGACCTTAATTGCATTCACTCAGGCTTTCAAGTAGTCTTCCAAAGCAGATCATAAATAAATGCAGGTGTTACGAAGGTATTTTGCAGTGTGAGCAGGAATCTCCTATGAACGACATCCACAAGTGAGCCTAACCGTATGACGACAATGCCTTGCATATGCTTGGGTCCCAAAAGGTGACCAAATCATGAACCAAATCACCCAAACAAAAAACTAGAAAAAGTGGAGCACCAAAATAAATTTAAATGCACTTATTTGGAACAGAATACTTGACGGAAGTAAAGAGACTGAACACAACTTTCCACTATAGAAATACACACCCACAGATGCCTATGAACTGGAATTTTAATATGTGCAGCGATTAGTCTTTGAAATATTATTAAAAGACGCCATAAAGAAACCCCACAACCAGCTCATATTGAATAAAAAGATTTTCTGAAGAAAATGCTACGCAAAGAATGGCAAAGACGTCAAACAATATAAATTTGGCCTACTGGAACCAGGACCTTTAACGCGTTGGTAGTAACGCGCACATTGCGTCCGCGAAACAGGCTTGTGAAAAATGTGCAACTTTTCAGATGACTCAATAGTCAAAAACTGAATGTGGAAGCCTACCTTAAACTCTCACAACCACTATCCTAGACACTCACACTATTATTAATTCAATACTAATGTTCCTCTTCTTTAAAAGACCAAAAAAGTAAGTACATCACACAACTTATTCGAGGACCAAAAATGGCGTGGTTATAATTATGGAATCGGGTGAAACGCAGACGGGCGAGATGCGAGTACATAAGTTCAAAGCCGAATGGCGTTCACAAACAACAAACCCTTGAGTCTCAATGTCGCTACTTTTCACTTAACTAACATCAACAGTTTCAATTCAGCTCTCTGAATTCCAACGTACAACTAATGAGCAAAGTAGAGCCCAAACAAACTTGTTATAGTCTATAAAACCCATTCGCACCACACGATCCTTTATAGTAAAAGACCAAGTTTGTTCCAATTTCCAGAAACGTGAAACCAAAATCCATCAATAAATACCTGCTTTGTCATTGAAAGCAAAAATAATCGAAGAGAAATAGAAGAAGTAGGAGCTATTTTGGCTGATCTCGTTGCAAAAGCATGAAAAAAGTGTCAAATGGAATACCTTCTTTGAAACACAACACTACTACCGATGTTAAGGAGGGACACACTGACGCCTGGAGAAGGGAAACTTGCGACCCTGATCCCACGTTCCACTACTTATCCAAAACTCTCTCGTCAAGTTATAGAGAACAAGGACAATAAAGCAAAATAAAAATTCACTTTTCAAATCTGAATAATAGTATATGAAAGCACATAAACTAAATACTGCTAAGAAGGTTTGGTTGATATTGCCCGATTACTACAGAGCAGATAAATAGGATGAGTCCTAAAATCACCAATTAATACTTCAAAAAGCTTTCAGTTATTTCCCATACATAACAAGTGATAAGGGCTAACATAATCTCCCAAAACTACACAAATACAAAAAACATTGCTTACAAGTTGCAGAACGAACACTGCGCTAGCTTCGTGATAAAAAAAAACAATTCTTCACTACTTTTGAGTATACGTTTAGGTGTGTTTCTATGATCAAATTCAACGGAATTGTTGTAGTTTATGGCAGGAATTTGTATTATGGCAGCCTAATTTAATGTGTGATATTTGATCGAATACATGTTGAATTTAAAGTAATTATTAATTAAGCACCATTTTGGGAATATCTATTACTACTAATTAATAATTATTTAAATTCTCTAACGTTAATAGTGATCCACAACCTTGCGGTCTGCTGAGTTACTGCAGCTGCAATTAAGTACATAGCTTAACGTTAGCTGACTACCAATATATTAATTTTGAAAATTGACCGTTGCATTTTTGCGAGATTAAGATTTTACGCATGTCAAATTTACAACTTTATGAGATTTCTGACTGAAAGCACCAAATAGCAACTAAATAATTTTTTTCTTTTATCATAATCCCTTAGATTTTTCCGCATTGTTAATTTTACCTAAGTACTAAAGTAATGCGTTAGCTGAAAAATTATCTAAAAGGGGCCTTGAGTTATTAGGTTATCTTTTCGGGATATCTTTACCAACAGCTTTGCCTTTTATTGATGGGATTTCAGAATATTACTTATTAGGATGGTTCTAGATTCTGACCTTGTATCAAATTACTTAGCCTGGCCAATCAGACTCTAGCTGAGCAAATATTGTCCAGCAGAATTGCAAAGCTATTGCAGCACCAGTTTTCAAATTTAACTTCACCTCCAAAGCCTACGATAATACTTAATGAACACTCCTCACTGTTATGTACAATACATCCCTGCCTCAAACTGGCAATAAGTGAGTTTTTGACTTCCTATACGACTTCTAATAGTCAATCAAGGATGCAAGAGCTGTCAATTCAAGTCTCGTAGCGAAGAGCAAGTTATATTTTTGGTTTTAATGTGCAGCTACTAAGCTTTAAGGATTGCGGACTTTAAGATTCGACCGCTCAGTCTAATGTAGCATAAACCCTCTCTGACTCTCGATGAAGTTTGCAACGCGTATGCCTATCTGAGCAGCACCCAGCACGACACCAAGATGGTCTAATCTTGCGGCCTCTGTAATTCCTACATAAACGCAGCCCAGTGGGCTGCATATACTCTTAATTTTACCGTGCTCACCCAACAGTCATAGCAGTTCAAGAGAGAGACCTTAAAAAACCAATGAAAGACTGCAAACGATACTTATCTCTTGTGTTGATATAGTGAACATGAGCATTTTGACAGGCTATGCTCATATAGGCAGCATTTTTGCCATTAATGTAAAATACATGAGTCTTAAAGATGGCATACTGCTGAGCCGGGAGTGGAAAAGGGTAAAGCACAGGACATTTAGACACACCTCTTTGGACAGTGTGCGATAGCGGTCGAAGTACACAACTGTCAGTATTAATGACCATTTAGTCCATCTGCAGTTTGACACTGATTTTGTGAACATTCAAATCTCAGAGAAGCAGCGCCTCTCTCTTTTTTGGTCTCTAATCCGTCCCACCTGTCTGGCAACTTTCAGATCAAAGTTCTTTCTAAAATGCAATTCAATTTCTCCATTCGCAACACAAGATTTAAAGAATTCCATCATGCTTCCCGATATACTAACCAACTATCAAGCATATTTATTCCACCTGCAACCCTCACCCGGAGGCCGAGGAAAAAGGAAGATGCCATCGTTGCCGCCGTCTCTGTCAACGATGGCGTCTCACAACAACTATCCCAAAATTTCTGCACATTAGTGATCTCGGCACTCAACCACGATAACAACCCACACTATCTCAACCAATACACTAATAAGGTTCTACAGATATAGGTTACATAACGCTTTCACAAATATGGAATTACGCAGACACTAATTCGAATGTCACGCGGCATCAGACAAATATTTAACAAGCTCACACAACAACCATCAGCATTATAAACATAGCGCGATTACTACCAACACTAGGGATAACTGATATCATTTATTAAAAATAGGTGAGACAACGAAGAAGCGTCACTATGCTTATTCCAATGAAGAATCTGATTCCATCTTGATTTGTTGCTTTTACTGGCCCACCTAGAAATGATCTTCTACTGATACTAGACAATACAAATCGGTATTCTCATTTGCCTTGCTGCCGCGAAATCAAATTGCGTTCATGACCATTCTG